ACACACACACACACACACACACACACACACACACACACACACACACACCCTACTTCCTTGGTGGCTACAAAAAGCCAGTGAGGATGATCCCAGTGTTCTGGCCAGATGCTGCCAGTGGATGGAGAGATGCATGTCAGTTCTGTGATGCCTTCTTAGAGGGTGATTTTTTTTTTTCTCTCTGGAGTTTGCACGCCATCGATGACAGGAAGCTCATCACTTCTGAGCTGTTTATCTTCTCTTTATCTGCCAAGTCCAGACCAGGTCCCTGCTGTCCCTCAGCCATAGGAGAGAAGGGTGGTGAAGACAACCTAGAACTGTGGTGAATGAGACAGAACTGTGTAGCTCAGGCTGTGGGGAGGAGGCTTTAGACCGTCAGAGCAGCAGCAGCAGCCAGCTTTCTCGGGGAGGGCGGACGAGCTAAGCCTTGAATGACAGACAGGCAGTGGATTACCTAATCCAGGGGACAGCATGTGTGGCAGCTCTGAGACTCTCCTGAGGATGTGGCACTCCAGTGGGGCTAAGGCCACATGGATCTCACTTGCCAGGCTCGGGGGAGTGGTGAGCGAGGTGCAGAGTCCAAGTAGCCAGTGCTTTGTGGTTGGAACTGTCCCTCCAGCTGAGCTGACGGTAGGCTTAGACAGGTGGACCCGAGATCGAGAGGCATCCTGCACCTGGCCTGAGCTGGAGGCCCTGCATCGGGGTCTCACATTCCTCATGTGACAGGCTGGGACGGTCTAAGAACGTGTTAATTTGTTTATATTGTGTGAATTAGTTATCTGGAGTGTTTTGAGACAGGGTTTCTTTCTGTAGCTCAGGCTAGCTTGGAACTCACTGTGTAACCCAGATTGGCCTCCAACTAGCGGCAATGCCCCTGACTCTGCCTTCTGGGTGCTGAGGTTACAGGTGTTGTCCACCGTGCCAGGCTTGTTTATGTGTTCATTTAGTGTGTAAATGAAGAAACAGTAAAAGGAGGAGGACACACTACTCCTAAAGTGTGGAGGAGACACTACTCCTGAAGTGTGGAGGACACACTACTCCTAAAGTGTGAAGGACACACTACTCCTAAAGTGTGGAGGACACACTACTCCCGAAGTGTGGAGGAGACACTACTCCTGAAGTGTGAAGGACACACTACTCCTAAAGTGTGGAGGACACACTACTCCTGAAGTGTGAAGGACACACTACTCCTGAAGTGTGGAGGACACACTACTCCTAAAGTGTGGAGGAGACACTACTCCTGAAGTGTGGAGGAGACACTACTCCTGAAGTGTGGAGGACACACTACTCCTGAAGTGTGGAGGACACACTACTCCTGAAGTGTGGAGGACATGCTACTCCTGAAGTGTGGAGGAGACACTACTCCTGAAGTGTGGAGGACACACTACTCCTGAAGTGTGAAGGACACACTACTCCTAAAGTGTGGAGGACACACTACTCCTGAAGTGTGAAGGACACACTACTCCTGAAGTGTGAAGGACACACTACTCCTAAAGTGTGGAGGACACACTACTACTGAAGTGTGGAGGACACACTACTCCTGAAGTGTGGAGGACACACTACTCCT